GCGGGGGCGGGGGCCGGGGAGCGGCGCGCGCGGAGGTAGGCGGCCGGAGCGCGAGGCGCGGAGCTGGGCCCACACTGAGGCCGGAGCAAAATGGCGGACAGGTTCTCCCGCTTCAACGAGGACCGGGACTTCCAGGTAACGCCCAGCCCTGCGCGGAGCGGGCGGGCAGGCAGGCGGGCGGGGCGGCCTGGCCTCTCCTCGGAGCCTTTCGTCCTGGCTTCCCCACACCCCGCCGCGGATGCTGGCGACCTGGGCGGCCGGGTCAGGTGCCTCGGAGCCGCTACACCTAATCTGGGCCGCGCAGCACTCCCGGCCGTCCGCGGCTTTGTGCGGCGCGGCGCTCCAGGGCGGGCGGGGCCGCTGCTCCTCACCAGCCCCCTCTCCCTCCGCTCTGCGGGCGTGGGGGTCCTGGGCAGCTGGGGGGAAGGGAATAATGCCTGGGTACCCCCCACCCAACCCCGTCGCTCTTGCCTCTGGCCGGGAGTCCGTCATTTGCAGCGCTCCTCCTCGTCGGCCCAAGTGCTGGGGCAGCTGGTCTCAGCTCGATGGCCCCCAGCACCGGTCAGCACTGGGTGCCTTTCTGCTGCACCCCACAGCTGTCTTGCTATGAGGCCTTGTGATGGTGGAAAAGATCTTTCTCTTTCATGTGATGTTAGATAATCAACTTCCAGATCTGTGTGCCGTTGTTTTGGTATTATTATTAATCCTTGTCCCTGTCTGGGCATTTGTAAAGGTTGTAGCTTTTGACTGAGTGCTGAGCTGCTTGTTGGATGCTGCATTCGCACAGGGGGCTGTCCAAGATGTCCATCCTGTGAAGTGTTGTTTTGAAGCATCTTTATCCAGATCTTGGCCTGCTCTGCTTGACCCATGCTTCTCTGCCAAGGTTGTGCCCTATGGGGGACTCTTTTGGTGTGGGTATAAAAAGCGGTAGGAATAGGTCTGACCTTTCCCAGGGATTGGCCTGCTCTGTTGCTGCCTGTAGATTTAGTTCATCATCCCCAATCTCTTCCAGGAACTTGTGCCTTTATTATTGTTATTCAGCTTTTTCACATGAAGCCCACAAGACGGTGTACCTGCTGCCTGCATCAAACAAACCTTCTGGTTCACCCAAGGAGCTGCTGCATTACTGCTGCACATCCTGGCAACAGTAATTTGGGTCAGGGCAGGAATACCAACGTTCCCAAGTTTTTTGTAGCAGGCTGTAGGACCTTTTTTTAGAGCGGCATAATCAGAGCTGTGTCCAGGCCACCGGATAACAGGGATTTGGAATCTTTAGGGAATTGGGGCAGCGAATGGAAAATGCAGCTTGCCCGGGTCATTGTAAAAGAAGTCTGACGGCATCAGGCCAAAAATAGGGTATACGCAAGAACGCCCATGCAGGATACTGAGCAGAAAAACAATTGTTGAAACCCTGACTGGTACGAGCTTTTTGTACAGAGGCATTGGGATTTACTGAGAATTCTTTGCAGAACAAGTTATTACAGAGCTTTGCACATCCTAACTTGATCTTTAGCTTTTGACACCAGTATCACTTGGCGGAGGGAAGGTTTAAGTTGGACATCAGGAGGCGCT